TTGGTTGCCTTGTCGGATGTGTTACGTTTGTCTTGTAAAATGATGAATTTCCGCGTCACTCTTTGTCAAAAGGGTGGTGGGTAGGTAGGTTTATGTTAGATCTCAAGGTGCCCAATGTAAAAAATATGTACGGTAAATCTGATGGGTGTGAGAGGCTGTTTCAAAAGAAAGCCACAGCCTTGCAGATGACAGCCACCACCCAAGCCACACACTAGCTACGCCAATACGAAATCAACCAATAATATTAATCAATTACCTCAGATAGCCTCGTAGCTTGCTTCAGCCTCACCGCCTCGTTCTTGAAACTTTTTTGTTGCCTCATCTAAATTCGCGATGTTGATAATCTTCATGTAAAGACCAATTTAACGGCATCCTGACTTACAAGCTTTTCAACGCTCATCATCCTCAATTGCCATCGAGTCAACTATATATATTGATGTTGCGGGCATTTCCACGTTTGGGTAGGACCAATCTACTTAAATATCCGACCATTTTACAACATTCGCGGCTTCGTGAAATTCATTGTTCGCCATGTTTTAATCTACCTACAGCTTCCAAGTCCCCAGAACTCATAACGCCTACCGGTGTGGATCCTCCAGTCAAGCGAACCCGCCGGAAGGCTGTGACCTCAGGGGACATCACAGCAGAAGATGCTTTGGCAGTGGGACCAGTGAAGCGTAGACCTAGGAAATCCGTGGATGATGAAAAGGTTGATGGCAAAGACGATTCAACACTCGAGCCAGTGAAGCGCAAAAGAGGTCGGCCCAAAAAAGTGAAAGAGGTGGAGGTGAAATCAGAATTGGAACCAGTTCTCGAAGCGAAACCTGTACCAGAATTGGAAGCAGAACAAGAACCAGAATTGGAATCAGAACAAGAACCAGAATTGGTAAGGAACAGAATGAGCCGAGATAAAAATGAGAAGTCTCTGACCGACGCCCAGGAAGAAGAGCCTATAGTAAATGAAGTAGACGAAAGCGAGTTCATAAAGATTCCCTTGGACCTGAGAAAATACCTGAGAGATGCTCACATTAAAGGTTCAACCATGGGGGATAGAACACGTTCGAATATCATGAACGGAGCACTATGTGGTAAGAACTAGCCCTTTTTCGCTACGAAATTATCATTTAGTAACCTGGTCCAGATGATATCTTGGATCGTCTAAAGCCATCGCTTTTAAAGCATGTTGGCTGCGACGTCATCGACATAAATCCAGGCATTGGCTTATGGTCGTCTAAAATCCATAAAATTCTGAAACCTCGAACACATCTCCTTATGGAACCTGATGCCAAGAAGTATTATCCTTTTATCCAACCTCTTCTTGATGCGAAAGATTCTACTTATCAACACATACCAAAATCTGGAACGGTCTGGGAACATCTTGGCCAAGTTACTACTCCGGAATTCTTACCCCATCAGGTAAAACTTTCGCGAGACGATCCAAAGATCAACGAACCAAATAATACCCTTCTTGTGATTGCGAATCTTGCCCACTACCCCAGAAAGAGGTACCGCGGTTTTGAGTCCATATCACAATTAGTCCTGTATCAACTTCTTTCCGCAGCAAGATCGCATGCCTTGTTCCATCAATATGGTCTCATACGAATGCTTGTATGGATACCGGATGTAGAAAAAACGTCATGGCTGGTACGTCATGTCGCCCAGATGCGCAAAAATGCCGTGGAAGCCCAAATAACTACAGAATATATTCAAGAGATTGCAAGTTCAACTGTAGACAACCACCGATTTGTAAGAGACGCCGAGGTTGCATTAGCGAATTCCATAGATGTTGTCAGTAAGATGGATAAAATGGGCATAACGACACCCAAACACAGGCAAGGCCCAATGGAGTTCAAAGCCAGGCAGTCGCTTGCTACAGGTGGGCACAAAGTAGAAAGCGAAGATTTTAATCGCTTCAAGAGAGGCTGGTTCGATGAATTTGGGGATCTCCAGAAGCGATTGGATGAAGGGAAATTAATCAAATTTAAAGCGTCGGAAGGTGAGAAGGTCGAAAACGTTGAAAAGGACAAACGAAAGAGGGAGAAAAGACACTACACCGAAGAATATGCACGTTATACCTTCCTTAAAGCGAAGAAAAAAGTAATCAACCAACATGGAGCGCTGACACAGGATCTCATCAATGACTACAACAACATCAATCAGCTTCATAGCAAGATCTTAGACGCAGATTCGAAGTCCGAGGACACAGAGACTTCAAGAAATGAATTGGGCACAATGATCAAGACGTATGAAGACAAGATTGCCCAACTGCCTCTTGCTGCCCAAAAGATCTACAATATCAGACTCGACGGTGCGCGCATTGGTACAGAATTCGAGAAGAGACCGATGGAGCCTCTCAAAGTATATTCAAAAGAATTCAGACCTGCTTCTGAGTTGTGTCTCTTGGATATTCAGCCGCAAGCTCTTTGGCCTATCCTTCGTCAAAATTATCCCGAGAACTATGATGTCTTCGAATACATAATTGGTAATATGTACGCACATCCAATTGACACAGTCTACGACTCTTTGGAAGGATTATGGCCCGGTGCCCTGGAGCACATAGCCGGCGAATGTCCCTCGTTAATAAATCCTTCAAAAGGGGGAGCATTTGACTTGAAGCATTTGTCTGTAAGATCCCTGACAACGGAAATGTTGAAGGAGATTATGGAGGCATGGATGAAGTGGCCATTCCGCCCTAGTCGATTCGAATTAATGACTAAAAGTGGCAGTGTGGTACATGATCCAGACAGTCCAGATGAGGATGTTCTCGATGGCCCGTGAGTATAGTGCTATTCAGAATTCAAGAAAATATTTTTTAGCATAGGGCTATTTCGCTGTGTCTATTGCATTGAATCTTAGTGTTGCTAAATACCTTGTCTTAAATGCAGCCAATGTGATGGATATTATCCGGACGCACATGCAAAGAACTGATGAATTTGAAATTAGGAACATCAGGTACATCCAGTCTGAAATCCCGAAACCATACCTCCCTCCTACTGATAACGATACACGATTTTCTTGCAAAAGATTGAAGTGAAGAACCACCAGAGTATCTATGTCAGGCTTTCCAGTGATCGCACTAACACTCATGTAGAGGATAGATGGTGCTGGCATGATCAGATGTTAATTTGCCTATCACTTTCCCTCAGCTTATGTATCGCACAGGGGGTAGTTGTCGACTTGACCTAGCCTATTTCCACGACTTCTTGAATTCATGTCTACGACCGCAATTTTAAAGGAATGTTTTGATATTTTCCCTGCTTCGACTGGTAAACTATGACTTCGAAAAGGGCTGCAGTGGTCAATGACATAAATAAAACTCTCTTCATCGAAAATCGTTTAACAGTGGCCAGTTTCCAGATCACTTCATGAACAGTATCATGACTTTCTCTTCCAGTGCCTGCTTATACGTCACCATGAAAAGCGTGAATGGAGGCGATAGAAAGTCCAAAAGTCACCCCCTGCCATAACATTCACAACAGTGACCGATCTTTCAATAACCAAAAGGCAGACAACCGAGTTGCTTCTTTATGTTGAGGAGTCTGATTAAAGGTAGCCAGTGAAATTTGACAAAGCTGTCGCAACCATGCGATTTTGTTCGGTTGCATCACGCCACAAATCAGCTGGTATGTGGAATATTGATAAGCCAATGGGAATCGACTGAGATTGTATGACCGGGCGGGGAACCGTATATTTATACAACTACAAGAACTCGGTTTATCTTGGAAATATCATCTTCACATTCGCAATGGAGTTTACAAAAAAATGGGCAGATAGCCCTTTCAAACTGCTCTCAACTCCGAGGGGATCATTAGATGTATGTGCACCCAACGGCTTGATAGCGATATCAAAAACTCACATAACAACAGGGCAAACCCGAATCTTTAGCATCTCGCAATGCATCAGAAATGGCCTTACTTCATAATATTCTTCTTAGAGGTCTGAACTGCATCTATATCCAAGCGCCCAATGTGAAAGAGACCGTCGATATAGCAGATTTTATGAAATTTTGCGATGCATGGTCTTCTATTCTTCATTCCCACCATGCAGCTGAGGAAACCGTCTATTTCAGATTGCTCGATGAGCAAAGTTCCAGAAATGACGTTTTCATTAATAACCATGCTGAGCATGAGAAATTTCTCCCGGGCTTGTTTGCTTTCGATCTTTTTGTTTCGGGAGTGAAAGATGATGCGAAGCCCTTTGATGGATTCAAATTGAGGGAATTGATTGATGCTTTTGGACCGGATTTGGAGAGTCATTTACATCATGAAATTGGCGTTCTAGTGGACCTGGAAAAGGATGAGTCGATCAATTGGGAAGAATGTGGAAAGGCGATGGCTCAACATTCGAAGAAAAATGCTGATAAAGTATGATTCCTCAACTTCGGTCATGAAATTCAAACTTTGCTAATTTATCGATAGACGAGAGATGTCCCGTTCTTGATCACAAACTCAGATGTGACTTATGAGTCTGGTATTCATGGACCGAGATTCCCTCCCTTTCCGTGGTTTGTGGGATTGATATTTAGGTGGATATATATTCCGAAGTTGAAGGGAGCCTGGAGGTTCTCAAGTTGTGACGATTACGGGGTACCGAAGGAACTTCCTTTTGCATGATTAATGAGCTTGCTTGACTGTGGTTTGAGAGTGGGTATTGGTTCGAATAAGGGAAATGTGAGGGAGGACTGGACTTCGATCTTCAAGATCCGTAGACTTTGAGAGGGCAATGGCCTTGGCACGAAATGTGTGTATGTTTTGTGCATTGATTGGGTTTCGGGAAGTCTTTGAATTTGTATTTGAGTTTGTAGGTCAGCACTCTTGCGTTGGTTGGTGTTAGCTAGTGATCTCTAGGGCCAAAATGATGCTATTAATAATGAAACCCCTGGCTAAGGAACTCTAATTGCTTGTGCTACCGAAATTTTAGCTTTACACATCTTCAACATTATCACATTATCAAACACTTTCTCCATCCTCACCGAACTATATGATGAATTCTGCTATTCCTTCAGCAAGTATTTGTTCCTGATTAGTTTCTAGATATTGAGTCTTATCAATGTCGCTATTTTGTTTCCTGGACCTGGCGACTGAAATCACCATGAACAAAATCTAAGCAGCGGTGCCTGCCGTCGCTCAGTTCCTGTTTGTCACAACCTGTATGACCTTCTCGATAAGGATACGATAACAATCTACCCCACCTTTGTCATCATAGAAATACTATGCGCAACCCATCTCCAACCAGATCGACAATTGCGACAATTGAATTTCCAATACTATGGCTGCAACTACTGTACAAACGGCAGATATTGCCACTGAAAACACACGTCGTGCTGCGCAGGAAATACAAGATTATCTCCAATCACGTCTTGCAGACACCTCTGGTCCTTCCTCATTTCGATCACTTCCAATTATCGATCTGACCCCTTCATTCTCATCATCTTTAGCCGACCGTCAAGAGGTTGCGAAGAAAATCAACGAAGCATGTGCGAATGTTGGATTTTTCTACATCACAGGCCATGGAATCCCACAGCATGTTTGCGATGAAGTATTCAAGCTTTGCGAACGTTTCTTTAGTGAACTACCTCAATCCTCCAAGGACGCAATTCACATGAAGAATTCAGATCAATTCAGAGGATATGAACCGGCTAGTTACTCATCTGTGAATGATTTTCAAACCAAAGAAACAAAGGAGGCTTTCAATTGGGGTTATGAGTATGGTTTGGATCCTACCGGTGGAGACGGAAAATACGTCGAGCTTGATGGTACGACTGCTGGTGGTAAAAATCAATGGCCTAATGAATCTGAAATTCCTGGTTTCTATCAAGGCATTGCAGACTATTACGGAAGGGTACGCTGACTTGTCGAAGATTTATTTTTCATGTGTCTAATTTTGTCTCACAGATCTTGGAATTGTGCAAACACCTATTCCGCCTATTTGCCTTGTCTCTATCTCTTCCAGAAGATTATTTTGATCCACTTGTCACACATCCCGGAGGAATTGCACGACTGATAAAGTACAAGCCAAATTCGAACCCCAAACCTCTCTCAACCTCAAACGAAGAAGAGGAAGTTGGTCTTGGTGCTCACTCAGACTACGAATGTTTTACTCTCCTCCTCCAAGACTCAACTCCTGGTCTAGAGGTTCTTAGTCCGGACGGAAAATGGGTCGCTGCCGAGCCTGTTGAAGGAGGAATCGTAGTCAATGTTGGTGATTTCTTGATGCGATGGACAAATGGACTTTATAGAAGTACGATTCATAGGGTTGTTAACAGGACTGCGAAAACGCGATACTCGGTACCCCTATTTTTCTCGATTAATTATGATGAGATAGTTGAGACGTTACCGTCTTGTGTAAGTGAGGAGAATCCTTCCAAATATCCTCCGATTACTGCGGGGAAATATGTATTAGATCGTTTGGCTATGACAGTTCCTGGAAAATACTGAAATCGCGGTTGCCATGGACTTCCTTGCCTTGTTAGCGTCAATTGAAACAAAGATGTTACTACTGGTCTTGTTCTCTGAATCCAAGTTATTGAAAAAGGGGCTTCCAAATATTTACTGAGATACCATGACAACCTATTCTCTCCATTCTCAGATCTATCCACATTGCCGCACGATAGAGACACAGAGTTATCTCTCTCTTGTTCCGCTGGCCTACAGCTTAGCTTTCTGACACATTGCTTTAAATGCGGAGTTCTTATACGAAAGTGCAGTCAGCTTATTTATCATCATGTCACAACCATTCGATGATGATATCACGAATCTTCTTGCTGGCGTGTCGCATATCACTTCTAGAAGCACTCATTCTACATCATGACTCTACCTCCCACTAACTTCAATACTACCTCATGGTTAAACTATCTATGGACCAGCATATTGAAAAATTGAAATACAACTTCTTGATCGATGATCATATGAATTGGACTCGGCGTAGAGTAGATGAAAAGCATACCTGTATTAATGATGCAGTAGTCTCGCATGTAGACATAAATCAACATTCGTAAATCTGCCCGAAAGCGACATGAGATTTTGGTTTCCCATTTAATACTAAAAACATCAAATAAAGAACAGTGCAATCGTTGTTTCAAATATATGGAACTGGAATTTGAATTTAAACTATGATTAGCCGAGAAGATTTGCGACAAAGCTACCACTTCCCCTATTGAGATGATTTCGCTTCACCCATTTAGCCCATATGCACAACTTGTACATTACATATAAAAATGAAAAGTATGGGATTTGATAAGGATAATGATATGATTCCTTCCTCCCGATTTCCCGAAACGCCGTGTCCATGCATCACTCGTAACTCATCCATCTAGCATGTAGCTGCTAGTACCCTTGGTCGTATAATAACCCCCATTTGTAGATCCATCCTACATACTTGTTCCCGATAACCCACTTTCCCTCCACCAATTCCCCATCCTAAATCCCACCTCATAATATCGTCACAAATCAATCTCCCCATCCCGCATTCTTTCATGCCTTCCCCCTAATCATCCATTCTGTAAACCTGATAACTCATAATCATCATCCAGAACAAAAAGACAACCCCAATCAACATAAACGCCCATGCCGCAATCCAGCTCTGACAAATCGAGTGCTGCATCAACCACGCCAAAGTCGACGAGTAAGGGCCACTCTGCGGATTCGCCGTAACATACAAATTGCAGTTTCCATTTACGTTTCCCGTTGGGCCCCAGAGTTCAATACTCCACACAATCAATCCTACTAGCCATAATACAAAGAGTATAAAAGTCCCTAATATAACGATACCCGGAAGCAATTGACGCTGCGAGATGAGCCAGAGCATAATAAGTAGAAATACGACACCGAGGGAAGCAGAGACAACCCAGTATGGGAAATACCAGGGAACATGGAGATGTAGCTGATTTTGGACAGCGACAAAGTAGGCGGAGATACCGAGGATGGTGCAGGAAGCGATTAGCATCATGAGGATCCAGAAGTTCAATTGGAGAGGCGGCCAGCGGTATTTTGTGCGAGTGCGGGTCAGGAGGACGGTGGAGCGATCGCGGATGCCGCTTGAGGATGAGGAGAGTGTTGAGACCATTTTTGCGGTGTTTAGTTGGTAGTATTGGTTATGTCGAAGAAAGTTATGCCAAATCGAGTTCTTCTATTTCCCAGCACTCTTTTGGTAATTCTCTGTTTGTACTTCGATTATCGTCTAGCTGGTTTCCGAATTTTATGCAAACCCAATCCACAAGTTTGAAGTCGCAATTGTGTCTTCTCCAAAGAATTCCTTCTTTTCGTTCTCGACCGTTATCAAAAACTTGCGATTCCAGGACTCTTTCCTATTTATGTCCCTTCCTTTCCCTCTCACGAAAGAAATATCCAAACCCAATCTCAGTCTCGAGAAAAAATCTCGTACGATAACTCGTCCAAGCTCGTCCACGTCAATCCCCCTCGTATGTTATAATACCGGTGAATGAATGTTGTGTTGTCGTTCAATTTATTCGGTTTATGTTCCACTCAGACTCGAAAATCAGTGCACCTTGCAAGGTACTCGAACCAAGGGGACGTGCAGCTCAGAAATCTTCCGCTGGTACCTGTCTTACTTTATTTGCTGGTACCGAGATAGTTTGATTGACTGATCTCGTCGCGAAACTTTAGATGATAACTTTCGAAGTATGTATGATAGAGAAATGCAAGAAAAAACTCAGAGAAAAGAAGAAGAAAACTCGGATACCGACGCGCATTAATACACCACCCATTTTCGCGGTGTGAATAATGTAATTGGGCGCTTAGTATTGGCGGGGGGTTGGGAAGCTGGGATGAAGTGCAAGGCACAGCGCATCACTAAAGCCTAAGAAAATAATTATGAGGCTGGTAGTACTCGGGTACTCGGTATGGAAAACATTGGAGATTCGGGGCTTGAAGATCGGAGAATTGATTATATTTTTAGTAGCAGTTGTATCGGTGACGACAATGAGTTTTATCATCGGCGGTGAACTTATCAAGAGCGGGGAAATTTTGAAATGTTTTTGTATTGATTTCGTCGATGATTTGTACATCTATCTTGACTTCTTAAGCATGTGAAAGTAAAGGGATCCACCTGCCCCTCTATCCTTCTGAGTTGCGAAGTATTACCGTAAATGAAAGATCAAGTCCCATTATCTCAGGGCCACCCAAGGAATCCAATACCAAATGTATAAATAGTCAACCTCGATCTAAGGGTATATTCTTTCAAATGTCTCCTCAAGTATCCATTCCCAGTATCCGAAACACCAAGTTAAAGCAAGCTCTCACCCAAAGCACATCTAACCAAAGAGCATCCAGCTCTAACAGTTTCATGTGCTCCAATATCATTGACACCAGGTTCAAGTGTAGGGTTGACTTCCACCAAATCCATAGCGATCAAAGAACCAGTCTCGTGAACACACTCAGCAATATAATCGCCTTCTCGCAAGGTCAAACCCCCACGAACTGGTGTTCCAGTTGAAGGAGCGTATGTAGGATCAAGAGCGTCGACATCGAAGGAGAGATGGATTGGGGTATCGTTGCCGATATGACCGAGTGCCATTTCCATAACTCTGCCAATACCATGTCTGTGATAGAATGTTAGTGAGCGCGTACAGGGTAAATTAATGCGACGGGAACACAAACCTATCAATGTCATGCATACTGAATGCCTTAATTCCGTTATCACGGAGGATCTTCTTCTCTCCTCTATCAACATCTCTCAAGCCGATGTAAACAATCTTCTTTACGCTGACCATATGCTCATCCTTCAACCACCCAAAGATCTCTGGCTTCTCTTCTCGTGCGAGACGTGTTAAGAATGCAACGGGCATACCGTGAACATTTCCAGAACCCGAAGTTTCTGGGGTATTGATATCGGCATGTGCGTCAACCCAGATCAAGGCCATTTCTCTTCCTAAACGTTCACGAATTGCTTTTGCAGTTCCGGATACTGAGCCAATGGCAATAGAATGATCACCACCGAGAGTCAAGACACAACGACCCTCCTTGGCATGTTCGTAAACTTGTTCAGAAAGCTTTTGTGTGACTGCAGAGACTCCGCGAGGGTTCTTCATGTTTCGGTGATCTGGATCCTCGGTAGGAATCAACTCTTTGTAAGAATGAACAGTGTTATCATGGTGAAGTTTGTATCCTAATTCCTCTTCGAGTTGATCCAGAAGACCACTTTTGATAAGTGCTGAGGGTGCGGCATCAACTCCCGGTTTACACTGTGTTGATTAGATTAGTTGGTGGCTCTGAGAGGGAGCAGAAGAGAGAGGGGAGGGCAACTTACTTGTCCACCTGAGAATCCAACAGCGACGACACCAAGTTGATCGGCCTTTGATAAGAACTTTGGTTGAACCATTGATGTGGTAGTCATTTTGACGGAATTTGTTGTAATGTACAATAAGATGAGGTTATTGTTGGTTTAGTTTTGTACGAATTAGTTGATCTTATTAGTTGCTTGATAGTTATCGATAGCGGGGTGTTAGTGGTGGGGAGGTAGTGATAGGACCTTTTTGGGGTAGATGTGTATTAACCACTTTTTGGGGGTGAATCGAGAGATGGAATTTGAGGATTTGAGAATTTAAAATGTAATAGAAAGGGAACAGAAAGAGAAAAGGAAATGTTGAGGTATTTGTAGAAAAAGAAATTTCTCTCCAACCGCTTCTACCTTTTTTCATAAAGTAATCGGTGGGCTCTTCCAAGATTAGCTTACGGGACTCTCTAACACTTCTCTCACCCAAATTTTCCAAATTTGACCCCTAAGCGCAGGTATTCGCGAGTTCACAATCGCGTCTAACACTTAAAGGAAGTTCCTTTCCACAGTTTCCCCTAAGTGATAATATACACGAGATGAGACAGATCCCATGATAAATCGAAAAGATTAGGGGCACTAATGAGGAAAGTATTTGTAAAGGTGTCAAGAAACCTTCGGAGTAACACGGAAACGAGCAACTTTGACGCTTTTGATGATTTGAATGTAATGGCATGGTGACATTGACATTGTGGTGATGTTGATCGGTACTCATTTGATTGAATTTGGACAAGATGAATCTCATGGCGATGACTTGGTTTGACTCGACAATGGGTCCGAGAGTTCCAAGAGGATCATGATTCAGATGATCGATTGTAGGAATGTTTATTCACGATGAGAAACAAGAGATCTAAACTCTTCTCATAAACCATTCCTCACTCAACGTGAAGAGGAGGTTTCAAAGAGGTTTAAGTCATTGTATTCCGTTTATGATTTTCACATGAATGAGGGGAATTATGAGGGGAACGTCTATTGAGGCTTAGCGTCAAGATCATGTGTTGGCTACTCTTCCTTTCGGCTTTAAGATAACAGCACTGTCATCCATTGAATCAATCCAAAGCAAAGCACATCGAATATTCACATCCAAAGAGTAATTGAAGATGCTACCATGTCTTTACTTTTATACTTAAAGGATTGCAAGGAAAGATTAAAGGAACCCGAGAATTATTCCATCGTTCAAAGCATATAACAGAAATAGAAGTCGAGCTTTCTACCTTAAAGCCACCCATTCAAGGAAATGGAACTGTTGGTACTAGCACGGGGACCAGAAGAATCTCCAAACTCGGAGGGGAACCTTGAAGATATTCTCAAATCGAATAATCCACTCTTTTTTGAAGAGCTTTTGACCTCAATTTCTTGTCTGGTCTCTTGGTGGAAAGTACTACATCGCCCTCATAAAACATGAACCATAATACTTTGCTGGGTCGTTCACTTCGTTGACGGTGAATTACGGGTATTCACAAAATCTATCGAATTAGTACGGTAGTTGAACACATAAAGTCTCCGAGAATCTGAGGACGCCTGCGCTCTTGTACTCTTCGAGCATCTCGGGAAACATTATTTCGAGCACCATCAGCGTGCATTTTGATACTCACCCCCAAATCAACATGGAGGCAAGCCATGGTCCAGAGGGTCGCAAAGTTCTTAAAACAACCATTAATAACCTCGAATACCTCTATGACGGCGAGAACGTTACGTGTTTTGGACACAAGTTCATGGAGCTATGTCTTGGCGATGACAATCGTAACAGACCTGTTGAGTTCTGGAAGGCTCAACTCGCATTTCGAGGCTTTTCACCAAGAGGAAACGATATCAAGGCTCTCAAGCAACGTCTGGTTAATTCTAATACCGTCCAACCGGATACCATGGTCAAGCAAGGCATCCAGAAAATGATGAGGGCCTATCGCAAGAAGGATCGTGAAAATGAGGAGCCAGTGCACCAAGCTCGACAGGCTCGACACGTGGAAGAGGGTGATCGGGAAGAATATGAAGATTCTGATGAAGAACCTTTGGAAGACAATGAGGAAGAAAACAATGGCGAGGGAGAAGATGACGAGGGAGAAGATGACGAGGGAGAAGATGACGAGGGAGAAAATGGTGCCGAGACAGATAAAGATTCTGAAGAATACGACAACGATGCTGATGATTCCGACGAGGAGCTTAACGATGGACCATGGGATATCACCGGACACTGGGAATTGGAATGCAAAACTATGTCTTCAAACTACAGTCAATCGAAATCATACACCTTTGACATCTTCTCTGCACCACGCGGACAAGCCCGGCAAGTCTTCGGCCGTTTCAACCTTGGGAAATTCAAGGGTATAATCCGGTTTGCTCGTGGACGCAACTCTGCCGATCGAAACGAATATCTTCTCAATCAGCAATTCGATCCATGGACTGCGGATAATACAAGACTCTATCGATGGAGAGGCAAAGATTGTCAGGACATCATTCAACTCGGCTCTGATTCACGTTCTTACACAATGACATTCTCGCGCGGCGTTAAAAGAGTCAACGGTGTCTGGGGCACACACGATGGGGATCCAGGAACTGTGGAATTTACTGGGCGAAAGGTCTCGGAGGAAGACATATTTTCTGGGAGTGGGATTTTACACGAGTGGACGAATCACAATCAGCATGCGTATGATGCAGCTAATAGGGCAAGATGGAGATGATGCATTGTGAGGATATAATGCGAGACGTAGATTGACTGACGGACTTTTGTTTATCACTGTGGATAAGAGCCGATATTGAGTTGATAGCAGGCATGTTGGTGATGATAGACAGTAATCAATGGATGGGTTAACAATGGGTTGCGGTAGTTCTATAGTGGAATATCGTGGCATGTAGATGGGTCAATAGTAGTGACAACAGATTCATTGGTACCAGAAGCATAGCTGACTTGACAATTACCATGGAAAACTTCGTATTCTCATGATCCTGTTCCGCCCTTGTTTTGCGAGTCGAACCTAATCATTCAACTCGGTGAATCTCACATGACGACAAAAGCTTTTCGAGATGGATCAAATTCGCCATGTCTAAACCTCACAGAGGTCACAGGATACATTTACAAAAATCTTTCCCATGTCAGTCAAAATTTATACTTTTCATATCGATAATTCTAATTCAAAACGACGTTCCTAAGTTTGTACATAGACTTGTAACGCTACTAACGAACCCATTCATTAAAATCTGGGTTTCGGGCATACTCGCTTTCCGATGTTTTCTGGAACAAAAGTGATCTATGCAAAAGTACCTAATGGGTAGTTCCTTTTTCGGCGATTTCGACTGTCTTTGCAAGTACCCCATTCTCTTAAGCTCTATTTATGATACATTGATGCTTTTTGATTTCATAAAAGTCAGTATGTCAATGATAGGGAATAGATATATTATGATCGAGCTTTTATCGGACAGGTTTCCATAAATGACGTGTCATTTGCGTTCTGTCTGCCTTCGCTATGTGAGTGGTCAACAAGAAGGTTACATCACGATATAGCCTTATCAGCAGCGCTTACAATTGCATCTGCATTTCTTTCTTATACTCAATTATTCAATGATTCGATATTTAAAGTCTCAATCTTTAAATCGAAATACTAATATCAATTTGCTAAATCGACAATACTAGTTTTGCTTTTGATAAATCATCTAAAATCTATTATTATATCCGTTATACACCTCTTGCGATGCAAACCTAATGGCGAGATAGTCTTTCACGAATATATAAATAACAATATACCTGCCTATGCAATACTTTTTTATATCTAAAAAGCAGAGGAGGTTGTCTATCAAGACTTAAAGAAAAGCAAGAACAAGAGTAAGACTGTGAATAAAGCTAGATGGAAAAAGATACAATTCTATACAAAACAAACTGCAATATATAAATTAGAATACTTTGAATTGATACATACTATATCAATAAGAAAAATGCAGTCGAGCTTGGTATCACAATAAACTCCATGTTTCAGTAGTATCAGAACGCAGTATACTACTACATCTATCTTTCAAATATCTCCAAGCCCAAAACTGGGGTGGATAACCAGAGAGCTTAGGAGGGAACTTTCCAGAAGAGCTATTGGTTTACTTGAGGCTGAACATTTCAAAAGCTTGTTATACTAAAATTGATAGAATTCTTTAGCTCGGAAAGTAGGCGACTTAGAACCAAATTATTGCTTGAATCTGAGATATACGAAATAACTAATATCGCAAAAAAAGCTCTTCAAGATTATGTATTATCAAATTTTAATATCAAAGAACAATAATCTTAAACAAAGCACTATAAAAGAAAATAAAGCCTATTGCTTAATTAAGATCTTCGATATATCTATAATACCAAATTACAGCGAGAGAAGAAACCAGGCATTCAGGCGACTAGAGGATGAGATTCAAAGAATGTACAAGAATGAGTTTTTGACATGAATGTGCTAGCCAAAGAGACGAAACTGATGAGGACAAGGGTCAATTTTGAGCAATTTGCTGTTGGGCTTAATATCATATTATTTCCTGAAGCTATATAATTTGTTACTAAAGAAAAAAAAACTATCTGAAATATACAAATTACTTTAAGATTATAAAAGTCGATTCTTTATCATTTTTTAAGATCTTGAGGATATGAGTAAGACTTAATTAGTAATTCAATATATCAAATACTATAAAAGAAATTTATAAAAATCTTTTAGTTAAATGCTAATAATAAAAACTTATTCAAACTAAATTTTCAGAATATTGCTCAGTAGATTTTGAGATATCATTTTTTTATTATTATTATTATTTCTTATATAAACCAAAATAATAATTTTAATGAAATTGTTATTATAATCAAGAACTAACTTAATTTCTTGTAAAACATAAAGTAGCTAATAATCTATAATAACTTTGACAATCCTAAGATATATAATAATCCCGATACTTTAATAATCGATATACATAGTTCCTCCCTCAATTTGATTATAGCTCGATTATCATCATAATACGATTATCGCAAATTAGGCAAAATACAAGAATTTATATTCAAAAAATATCAGATATCAGGGAAGATCTTGAAATAATATTTAATATATCAGGATATAAGGAATTAAAAATAGTATATCGATACAATTTGTATTAGAAGTAAAAACTATACTAATAAGTGTTAAAAGGAATAGAAGTTACCGGTGCTAAGCACGTGTAGTGATTAGTAATACACTTACCTAAACGGCTAGATTAGACGAACCATAGACAGGCATATTGATCCCCTCATATAATACTACGGGGAGATCAATATGCTTACACGCGAAACTATATAGTCAATATAGAGGCCTCTTCCACCCAATCTTCTAATAATAAGCTAGATTCTGATATTATAGTTTTTGTTAAGAACTTAATAGTTTGTTGCTTGCTTATTTATAGTAAGATTATATCTTGAATATATAACATAAGCTTTTCGGATTATCTTCAGCTTTATAAAACATTATAGCTGAAGCTTTAGATAATAAGCTTTCTATTAAATTCTTATATAAATCGTATACTATAATAATATATAGATTACTTTCAATTAGATCCAATAGTAGAATCCAGTATCAATATAGTTACTCAAGCTATTATTTATTTATTTATTTATATTAATTAACATCTGTTTTGGACCTCCCTAAGGGTATTTAAACATGCTAAGATAAGGAACTATTTGAACGGTATAATCATCGCAACCGAATTAGCAATTTAACTTCAATGCCAGGGGTTATTCGCTTCTTTGCGGGTGTGATCCGCTTCTGTTTCCAAAAAGAATATTTGATTCGAATTGTTATTGAAGTAAAGCTTGGTTTCTGGATAGATAGGCTCGTTGTGGGCTTCAATCCCTATAATAAAGAAGAAGAAGTAAGAGTGGATTGCTATTTGTTTAGTCAAACAGTAAGGCTTTTATATTGTATATTGGATTTGCGATTTTTTGAAATGTAGTATATTCGAGTGATTAATTGAGTGGTGAGTTTATAAAGAGTGAACAGTAAGTTTTGTTAAAAAGATTATTGCTTTTTAAAGGTTCTTTAATAGTTAGAATAGATTTGAATATAGAATTCTAAATCGGTAATCAATTAAATAAGCTTGCTAGGTATATATAAGAGTTTCTTGATATATATAATCGCCTGCTTATTAGATTGTATTTCTATAGGAGCAAGAAACCAATCTGAACACTTTAGATTGTTTATAGTATATTTAAAGAAGTAATATAATTCCTTAGTACTGCCGCATAAGCAATCCAGCTTATTGTTTTGATAACCAAATCGCTAATAATAAGTAGTGTAATTACTGTGACCTGTTTTTATAACTATTAATCGATATAAAACTACTCTTATAGAATTAATTTCTTTAGCTCCTTTATATTATATCTAGAAGACCACTCCTTATAATCCACAAGAAAGAAAAGTTCATCTCTTCCCATCAGATAGATTTTGTATATAAATACTTCTAATAAACAATCATTCAAATCCTACTGATTGTTGATAGTTTGTTGATTGCTTAGTCCATAAGCCCAATTGCATCTATATTTGCTTAAGCGATTGCTTCCTTATTACCTTCAATCTTTATATATCCAGATAACCACTTTATCTTGATATCGAATTGTTTCATTACTTTATAATATTTATAAAAAGTCTATTACATTATAAACAATACATTTCCATATATACTCCAAATAATCGATGTACTATTAATATATATCCAAATCCAATTATTTAGAGGATCTTCAAGCATAATAATTAGATACTCCAATCCGTATCATACTCCTATCGCTTTTATATCAAATTGTTGGAAATCACATGTGTAGCACGTGTGTGGCACGTGCACACCACTATAAAACTCCTTCGGACTTCCCGGATATATAGATCTGATATACATATTTCAATATATCCACTCCTTATGTATAACTTGCTGTTTATTTCTGATAGGTTATAAGCACCGTATTATTATAAGCTTTATTTTATAATTCTCTGTATCTCTTGAGTCTCGAGTTCTCATTTCCTTATAGTTATTCTCACTTTTGATTATTATAGCAAGCCAGACCACTATTGATATAATTCAAACAAAATGAGGAATACTAGTCACTTTTTAATGATTATAACTGGATAGACTTCTATAAAGCTATTCGAACTACTATGATAGTAGTATCTGCACTATCTCTGTATATAAGGAGAAGCATAAGACTAGTAAGCAGTCAAGCCGACATCGCTGAATAGATAGAAAAGCAGGAATTACATTCTCTATTATCAATTCCTATATTATTTTTATATACCATTCTCAACTTATATATACAATCGATATAAAAGATATTATAAGAATCTGAGTAAAACTCTTAACGTTTAATAATAATACAAATCTTTAATATACTTAGAATCTCTAATAATAATTCATTATAAGCAATTCAATTCTAAAACAAAAACGATTCATTCTTTTTCAATTAACTCCTCAACTATTAATATAAATTATCTATAACAATATAATCTCTATCTGAAATAAAGATTTACTTTTATCTTTTGAATATACTATTAGATATAGAAGTCTGATAGATATAGTAAAACTTTATTATATCATCAAATATAAATATACAAAATGCACTATATACTTTATAACAAGTTAAAAGAATTCCTTGAGGTATAACAAGTTATTCAGTAATAGTTAATACTATATAGGGAAATATAAAAGAAAG